AATAAATAAATAAAAATAAATTAACAAAAAAAAAAAAAAAAGAAAAAAAGAAAAAATGCTATTTATGCATACATGCCTCACACTTAATCTTTTGCTAATAGACTAAGGCGAAATATACACAAAAGGGGTGTTCTTCTGTGCGTATTAGTCGGCCAGCTGCTGCACTGTAAGGCCATCGCCCCCCGGAAATAACACAATATAAATTAATGTACCTATATATGTAATTATACGAATAACCTTTTTCTTCGCTTATTTCAACATTAGTACATGTTCTATGTCACCGAAAAATACATACATTTTTCACTGGTTTAGCTTCTTTTTTTTTTTTTAAAGCGCGAGATGATTTCGCGTGGTATGCCGACACAACTATTCCACTCACCAGCCTTATCAGTTCGCGACGAGCGTGTATTTTTGGCTGCACATTGTAGGAAGGGAGGCATACCCAAATGTGGATAAAGGCACATCGCGCTTGATACATATTGTATGCTACGCTAATGAACAGCTAAGCCGCTTCCCACATGGTAATACATATTTAGTGTGGCTAAACAAAACACAGCACCCGTTAAGTGCACTTTATATTGCTGCCCCTATTTTTACACTTTTGTGGGAACAGAAAAGGAGAAAAAATAAAAGCTAAAAAAAACAGTTTACCTCTTTATGTTTAAATTGTTTTTTGGGGCCGATACATGGCTATATCCGCCCCCCTGTTTGGAAGCATTCCGCATTTCGCGAACTCAAAAATTGCGTCCTACATGATGTACGTAGCGTATGCCCTAATTATTGTCAATATTCCGCGTCGACAAAATTACTAATGCGCTGGATCAGTGGTGAGGAAATATCACCCCTAAAAAAATACATTCAAAGAGTGTTTATACTACCATATACACATCCTCATTTTGTGTGTACCTCCATTTTGCTTTAAACGGGGAAATTGTGTAGAGGACCTTGAGCCAAAGGACAACAAATCAAAGTCGAAATGAAATACGTCCCTCTGTTGACTGCTCTACTTTACTACCTCACAAAAATGCAGAGTCGTTTGATCTAATGTGCATCACGCGTCGCCAAGTACACAAATAAAAAAAAGAGGAATTACAATGAGTGTTAAGCATGCCCCGCAGGTACAGGTAATAAATGCCACTTGGTTGTTCGCACAATTGCGCATATAGCAAATGTGAATTATAATTGTAATTGTAAATTTTATCGAAAATTCGCACTTTTCGACGAGTGTCAGAATTTTATTTTGTTCATGCAATGGAAAGACAAAGAAGGGCACGAAACAAATAGTAAAAAAATATGAGCTCAAATATGTATGCATGAAATTGTCGCACCCCTATAGAGGTGTCAATTTGTGCATTTTTTCGCCCTCATCGGTGGCACATATTTGTTTATCGTCCTCTTACGACACGCGTAGTGGCCTCAATGTTTGTGGTGTTCTTTGTGCGACATGTTTTTTTTTTAATCGACAAGACTCAAATGCTGGCCCGTTTGATGTAAACAGAGCCAACAACTTGTCATCGCATTGCTTCTTTTTTGTCAACAAAACATGAAAAATAAGCCCAAAGGATTAAAAAAAAAATGGTGTAACAAAATTTATAACATGTTAAATACGCACACACTCGTTTACACATGCGTACGAATGAGTGAACAATTGCATGCACTTTCAATTTGTTCGGATTTTTCATGCCACGTTTTTTTTTCCACCCTTCCCTAATATCGGCGGTGCACTAAAACACTATTTTATTGCACCACTTGAAATAATCGCCCCCCCAAAATGCTACGAATACAAGCGCGCACGGGAACTAAAGACACGCACATTTTGAAAAAATCTGTTACGGTGAAAGGAAAAAAACAAATGTTCAAAGTTGTAAAGAGAGGCGAGGTCGGCAATAAAGCACATAACACCGTGTTTCAACTTTTCAACTTTGTGGTTGCTCTGCCGCAGGCCCATGGCGCGCGCGATACGTGCGAGCATCCAAATCGAATTTTGCTCCAGTTGGGGGAGACACCAATATATGATGCAAACACGTAAAGGACAATTGCAGATTCAATTTGTTTATTTAAATTATAATCCATTTTGCTACTTGCTTTTTTTTTTTTTTTTTTTTTTTTCTTTGTTTTTTTATCAAGTTGTGCACCTTCCATTTTCCCACCTCCAAAGCGTTTTGTCTTGACACAAGTTTCCACAGTTCAATATTTATTTTGGAAACTCTTTTTAAACCCTCCATACATAAGCACAAGTGATCAAATGCACACGCCAGATTCGATCTTTAATTTGGCGCGTGCGAAAATGGAGAACGGTATGCATTTTTTTTTTTTTTTTTTCAACATTTGTGCATTCTTCTTTAAAAGTGGAAGATACCCGTTTGAGCCCATTTTCCCCACCATTCTTTAAGTAACTCAAAAAATGGATTACACCTTATTTTTAATTGCACGCTTATGTGGAAAATCCTAAGTATGCACTTTAATTGCACTTAAGTGTCACTTTGCACTTGGGAAAGGATATATTGAGGCCTCCTTGCAAGACAGACACACGTGAGCTCACACCATGATGCTTGTGCATACGTATACACATGCACACTGTGATAATTGTCAACTCTGGCACTTGATCGAAAATTATTCTGTCATTATGGTATGCCACATTTATTACTGAGGCAAACATGAAAAAAAAAAAAAACAAACGCAGTGCCATTTTTCCCTTTACATTTTTGTGCTAGCTTCAAGAAAGCAAAATAAAAGTGTGACAAACAAAAAAAAAGCAAGTAAAATGGGTCAAAGTTGGAATTTTTTCATTTTTTCTGCTCGCAAATGGCTAATCCTGTGAACATTACATTGGATAATCCCACATGATTAATGCCGCCATGGGTGTATATATGTTATGTGTAAGGGTGGTACATTTATACACGCATAATTGAACACATAACGGTATGCACTCCCCATCTCCTATGAAACGTTTGGAGGGATAAATTTATTCAAACAGATAATGTCAAGCCATAAAAAGGTTGGCCCTTCACGTAGGATGTGTCACATTAACGGCAAACACAATGCAGTTACGATGAAGGGAAGTAAATCCTGTGCAGTGCTAGCAATTATTTTACTGCCAGTTACGTGTGCCATCCCCTTGGCTGAACATTTATGACCTTCGTTCGTAATAAAAGTGCTTAGTAATTGACGCGATATTATGAACATACATATTTTTTGCTGAAGTGCCATTGCATGTATATATCCTCCATAATAATGCGGCAGTGATGGGTAAGTAAGGCCCCAGTTTTATTTTTTCTCTTTGTATTCTTTCCACCCTGTTTGATTATTCCTAACCCTTTTATGCTCCAAGGGGTGCACGCATAATATGGTACGCACAATTACATGCACATACTTACGCAGGATGAACAATGTTAGGTGAAGAAAAAAACTGAGCTAACTTAAACTACCTACGCATGTAGTGCTAGTAATGCCGGTTTGCCCATCAGTATAAAAATAATGTGCATGTAAAACAAGGTTATGCACATGCAAGTAAAGGATTTTCTAAGGATACATATATTGAGCTTAAACGGTACGAACCATTTTTTTTGGTTTGTTTCTTTTTTTTACATTTCAACGAAGGAAAAAATTATTCCATCCGAGCTGCTGCACATTTAACTCAGTGAACCCCTCTCGAGTGAGCATATAAATCGTGGAGATGCCGCCAAACGTATTAACGTACATATGGTAGTGCAATGGGGGATCCCCCAATTTGCCGTTATTCCGCTGTGCATACATTTTTTATGACCCCTTTTTTGGTTGCATTATCGGGTTCCTTTTGAAGTACCTTCTGCACTGTGACGTGAGTTTAGGATGTGACCCCAAAGAAGAAAAAAGGTGAAACAAGGGGTTCTTCAAAATTGCGTAAACATTTGCCCATTTTTAGTAACACGTACCCATACTACAAAGAGAAAAATGTGCAACGTGAGTTCATTTTTTTTTTTTTTTTTTACTTTGGCTTGGCTGCATTCGTGTGATTATGCCCTTCGCCAAATATGCGTAAACGTGCATAAGTGTGTATCTCTGAGGAGCAATGATACTTATGGGTTAGAGCATCTTTATGCCACACCAATTTCTACATAACATCTACACCCAACCCATGTCATGTAAAGCGGGCCACGTTGTTTTGTTCTTACAATTTGCTTATACCACATCCAAGTGACCGTTTTCTATATCCTCTCCTTGTGTGTAAACAGATTGGTTAGGCGATAATTGGCTCGATGAATCTGATCAGGCCATTATTCTTTTGCAAGCTTCTTGTCAATACATCCTGGTGAAAGGCTCAATTCGTGCGCACCATCATGTAGGAGGTTTCCCCACCAGGACGTCCCACTGTTTAACTGCTCCTTGCCTCATCTTCTCATTCATGTATTACCTCACTAGCCTACCTTTTTTTTACTCCGTTTTTTACGTCTACCCTTTTTGCGGGTCTTTACAAATAAGTGCGTTTCGTTTAGGGGTGCACACATTTCTGGCAATAAAGCAAAGTCGAAGGTATTTTCTACATGTATGCGTTCCGTTTGGTTGCGTGCATTTGTTCCATTTATAAATTTCACAGTGCTGCCATTAGTGTTAGTATGTTCGCACGTATTTAGCTGTCCCTTCTTATGGAACTCTTCCCATTTCCCTTCTTGGTCAGTTTCCCTATCGCTCGCTACGAGGAAACTTTCCATAACTCTGATGCGATCAAAATGTTCATAACGTGTTCTCATTCGACTCAACTTTCGTAAATGTGCTTGTTTGTCATTTTGGCTAGCTCCAACGTTGTGACCTTTACCCTTCTTAAAACTAAAGCTTCCTGCAGTGGTGTAGTACCAGTCAATGACTTTAAGTCTTAAGCTACTTTTTCCTGTGGTGGAAAATTCTATTTCACTCTGATCTATTACGTACTTCTCAGGAGTACAGGCGCTCAAGCAATTCGAATAATATTCCCTTATCATGTCCATTGCAGAACGCAGGTGTGTGTGATTTAACCCTGTGCATCAGGTTTCATGGGTTATGCGTCACTTGTGTTAAAAAAAATTTTCACCAAATTGTGATCACGTGTGTTGTTGCAATGGACCCTTTTTTTTTTTTCCCATATTCTTCACAATTGACCAATTTGATCCCCACCTTTTAAGAAAAAAAATGTATTCCGTTTTGCCATTCCATACAATTACAGGAAAAACCACTTTAGCAAAAAAAAAAAAAAAAAAAGGACACATCAACGTTGCGATCAAATGTGTGCACCTGATCAGAGAATTTCCAAAACGGCATTTTCGTTCGGCCGTGCCTAGTGCACGTAATTCTTTTTATGACCCGCTTACATTTCACTCATAGAACTGGAAACATTTTATTTCACCAATTTAGGCATTATGTCCTTTTCTATCATTCGTATATGGGACATTTATTGTGTCGTCATGGGACACGTCACGTGGAGACGGATGGGCCGCAATACACAGTAACCTCATTAACATACACAGTTACTACTTAATATGCCCTGTCCTCATAGCACCTGACAAAATTCTTTATTGTGTGCGAACGTATGACCATGTGCCTCCGTCTACAGGTTAGTATATCCTCCACTCCCTGTAACCAGGCCATACGTATCCTTTTCATTTTTGAAAAATTTTATCCACTGGGGGAACAAGTCAAACTTGGCCAAACCAATTTTTCAAATGGGCACTTCGGCTCAAAGGAGCATACTACTATAAAGGAGCATACTACTATAAAGGAGCACATTACCCCCTTTGCTTGTTTTCACAGTGTGTAGGAATCATTATCCACGGTATTGTAAACATATGTGAGCTTAATTCCTCCTCCTGTGGACGGCACAACACGTTAGGACCTTTTCACAATTAACATAAATGAAAAAATAAAACAGAATTGTTTAAAACTCTTCCTGGTCCCGTCTGTCCATGTATGCATATAGATTTATATGTGATACCCTGTGTGCAATACATGGTAGTGTGCTCCGGATTAATTGCGCGATGTTTCAGTATTCCCTCTGCAGTGTGCACCTATAACACAGAAGCCAAATCGTTAACAGGTACGACTTCCAATGGGTAGTCCATTTAGCTGCGTACAGGACCCTTATGCACATCTCACACGAAAGCACCAGATTCATATTGACGCCTTGCACTTTATTTTATGGACCAATTTGAATAAAGCACAACCAGGAAAAGTGAAAAAAAAACACCCGCCCCCCCCCACAAAAAGCTGATCGTTCATTTGCCGCAGCGACGGGAATATATTCATGCTACTCCTTAAACAGGGGGTTTCAGGTCCTGCATAACATTATTACGCTTGCGCATTACCACTTAACCAACATTGCTATAGTGGCAACACATGAACGGTTAATGCGCGGATTCATGTGCAAAAATATACATGACAAATGTACATAGCTACATTTGTGTTTTTTTTCTTTTTGGCCATAATGTTGGTGTACGGTCCTCCTGTGCGTTCCACCTTGCATGTTCATTCTTGTAACTCAAGCAGGAGATGCGCAGGATTTGCAAAAATGGTTCAACTGAGTGGAAGCGACTGCTTGGTTAAACACGTCCTTTCTCAATTATTATGAGCTAAGCCTTCACCCTTTTTACAAAAACGCGCCTGGTGCTTATATGTAGGCGCGACCATGTCCACAAATTTATGTATGCGTATCGTTCTGTGGGTGACGTATATATGTGTATGCCTACATAGCGTGGGCGTCAACAGCCTGGTGCAATTTGTCAGGGCTCCGCATATGAGCAGTTGACACGAACAAAGGTGCACGCTTGCTTACATTATGTGACCGCTCTATGGGGGAATACTTTGAAAGAATACTACCATTACTTGCACGTGCACCTTCTCAATGAGCCTGCATCGTTTGCGATAAGGCGGAACAAACAAAAAAAAAAAGAAGTGCGAACAGAACTTGTGACCGCGCCAAAGTCGTAGAAGCGACAGGCAGAAAAGCTAAATAGCTGAAAGGAGTACGGGAGAGGCACAAAAGGCAGAGGACAATGGGTTTTAAAAAACAAACCGGACATGAGAAAAACTACACAACTTGCATACGTAAAATGAAACGTACATGTAAACATTTTTATAAAGTAAAATAAACCGCACGTGGACGCAAAGGAAAAAAGCTGCGTTCACTTAAAGAAATGGGCAACTTTTTCCTCATCTTTTTAATTCTTACCGGAGCACCCCCGTGATACACTTAACATTCTACACAATCCGTATTTGTACATATATATATATATGTAAAATAGGCCTTTTCAGCATAAGTGCGGTTTGGGCGCAGCGTGAAAATTGAGCGGGACTGCAGCGTAATTTGCCTGGGTACAATTATTGGTGCGCAAATATATTCCCCGAATTTTTGTTTTTTGTACCCTTACATGGACTGCAATTTGTGCGCGCTATATAAAAATGCCCAAAAAATAACTTTAAAAAAGAAAAATGAGGAAATAAAAACGAAGAGAAACTTTTACCCTTTCTGCAAAGTGTCACTTTAACAACTGCAAAATTTTTTACTTCGTTTCCATTTTGTTTCCGCCTCATGTTTTTTCTTCTCATTTTTTTCCACCACCTTTTCTATTTTTTCTATTCATTTTTGTTTCAAAAGTTTCATCACCATTTTTTGTGCCAATATTATATGCGCCAATATTTTATGCATATTTTTTTTGTGCGCTTTTTCACATTTTGTGTTTTTGCCTCATTTTGAGATAATATTTATACCCCTGTTTTTTTTTTTTTGTTACTGTTTTTTCCCCCCCACCCACATTTATAATCCATGCAAATGCGAAACGGATAGGGTATATAATTGAATGTACGCAGTTAAGCAAAAGAATTGCGCAATCGATTGAGAACGTATTAAAAAGGAGGCCACATTGTTAAAAGAAAAAAATATATAAGAAACTAGAGTAAAAAAGGAACAGAGCAAAAGAAAAGGGAAAACACTCGAAAAGAGCTAATCGCCAGAGGAAAACAAAAAAAAATAATATTCACATCCAAAAGGAAGAATAATACCGTTTTCGCCCTTTGAGAAAAAAAAATAAAGAGTCCTCCCAGTCCCAAGTTTCGCGCAAACTGCTATTTGCTTCACTTTTCAAAAGTCCAGGGGGAGAAAGAAGTTTGCCCATTGTTATAATACGCAAGTTGGCAAGTCACAGGCTGCAAACGGAAGTGCGTACATTCCGTACACCGCGGCGCGCATCGCTTCAAACGGCATAAGGGTAATAATAACATTCCTAACCGCAAAACCGCAAAACGCCTAAACGGGGATAAGCAGTCAAAGCGCTAAACAGCTCAACCGTTTCACCACGCGAGGCGCATAAAAATATGGATAACAATGAGAACATAGACTCGAACGACAACTCGTCCGACACCAACACAGCCAACTACAACCAGGGGAAAAACGAAAACATATCAGAGGAAATGGATTTTAGCAAAGAAGACAATGAAATGGATGGAAGCGGCAAAGGTTCCAAATCGAAGCAGGATAATTTAGGCAAGACAAAAAATTCTTCAGATAAGGATGACATAAACATGGACTACAGTGATCATCATTTCCCATGCCACCCAGCGCCACCTGTGTCAATAAAACTCTTCATAGGAAGAGTCCCCAAAACTATGGAAGAGGAACAGGTACGACCCATCTTTGAAGAATTTGGTATCGTAAAAGAAGTGGTTATAATAAGGGATAAAATTACAAATATACATAAATCAAGTGCTTTTGTTAAAATGGCATCCATCTCAGAAGCAGATAATGCCATACGCTCACTGAACAACCAGAGAACATTAGATCCTCAACTGGGTTCACTCCAAGTAAAATATGCATCTGGAGAAATTATGAAATTAGGGTTTCCACAAAATATCGAATCAGGTGTTGATCAGGCAAAATTGTTTATTGGATCGCTTCCTAAAAGTATAACAGAGGAAAGTGTGAAGGAAATGTTTTCTCCTTATGGTTCTGTAGAAGAGGTATTTATAATGAAAGATAATTCAACTGGCTTAGGAAAGGGATGTTCTTTTGTAAAATTTGCATACAAAGAACAAGCACTTTATGCTATAAATTCTCTAAATGGGAAAACAACATTAGAAGGATGTGCACGTCCTGTGGAAGTCCGATTTGCAGAACCCAAGTCGGCTAAGCAGGCACAAATTCCATTGACTCTGCAATCCATGCCGAATGCAGCTCATGGTATGTCCTCACAACCACATATGACCAGCCCGAACAATATAAATTTCGCCAACAATTTTGGTGTTAATAATAATTACCCTCGACAAGTTGGTGCCTGGAAGGAATACTACTCTGGAGAGGGAAGACCTTATTACTACAATGAACAGACCAACACCACACAGTGGGAAATGCCAAAGGAGTTTGAAACCCTCTTTATGGGTGCTACACACAATGTTCATAATTTGTCGGACTCATCAGGTAATTTGGAGAAAGAAGCACATTTTTGCATTCAACTGCTGGCTTGGTGAATGGTCTTCTTTAGGCATATTTTCCCCAGTGATACTATTTATATTTGTCTGTCCATGCCTACTTTGAATTTGTTATATATTTTTTGTTTTCCCCACCTTTCACTTCCATCCTGTGCAGGCCCCCCAGGAGCGAACTTGTTCATCTTCCACGTCCCTAACGAATGGCACCAAACAGACCTCATCCAAGCCTTCTCCCCGTTTGGCGAACTCCTCTCTGCCCGAATTGCAACTGAAAAAAGTACCGGCCGAAATAGAGGATTCGCATTCGTCTCGTACGAAAATATTGAAAGTGCCGCTGCGGCAATTTCGCAAATGAACGGATTTATGGCATTAAATAAAAAGTTAAAAGTAACCGTGAAAAAAGGAGAAGAAGAGGAAATGAAAAAATTCGTGAGCCAAAATGGCATAAACTCGTTCCAGCAAATGTCCAGACCACAAAAAAATATTCCAGCACAACCCAATGCAGTAGCACAGCCAAATTTTCCACCACACCAAAATGCACAGCCACAGAATTTTTTCTACTCCAATAGCAACAGTTATAGGTGTGGGCCTTATTGAGGTAAATATGTGAACAGGCAATCGCGCCTGTCCCCCCCCTTTTTTTTTTTTTTTTTTTTTTTTTCTCTCTCTCTTAGAGTTTTACTTTAAGAGTCATTTTTAATATATATCATACAAAAAACACAAAAAAATTGCGTAATGACAAAAAAAAAAAAAAAAAAAAAAGGAAAAAATTTCCCAATTCGCAAATTATAAAAGCGGCGAAATTAACCCAATGTATAATAAAATTAACTTACACAAGACAGAGGAAAGGGTTGGAGAAAATATAAAAAGAAGACTATATGAAGACTACGAAGGGAAGACAGAGGAAGGGACGTAAAAGGAAAAAATATATATATATTTATCACGAAGAGGGACGCACAATGTGGAGACAGAAAGAAGCCCCGCGTGCTGCTCCTGCATTGCGAGATGAACTGCCCTCCCCTGCGAATAAATACATACTTACTAATGTGAGTACTTATGTATGTCCGTGCCTGCGCAACACAGGTGGGAGCAAACGCAAGCGTAAGCGAAAAATGGACAGCAATAACTCAAAGAAGAATTCCCGGTTGAGTCGAAATACAGGAGCACAGAAAAAGATATAATATTTGGTCTTTCCAAAAAGGACCATTTTGTTACACATTAAATGCTAAGACACAGATTCAGATTGCACAAATTGTGTAAATTGTGATGCGGTGGTCAGGAATACCACGAACGTGTAAAACGTTTTAAGAATTATATTTCACAAAGAAAAGTGGCAAAATATATGCGTAGAACCCTTCCGGTGTTGTACGCTTATATTTTGACCGAACGGGAAACGCCTTTCCCCCGTTATTTTTCGTTTCCTCGTTGGGCTCCCCTTCGTGATCCCGTTCGCCATGGTTTTTCCCTTCACCTTTTTTAAATAAATATACATATGTAATATAGAATTATTTTAATTTATAATTTCCCTTTCCCCCTTTTTTTTTTTTTTTTTTTTTTTTTTCCTCCCCCTCCCGCTCTACAATTTTATATTTAGAACATGTTCAAATGAATTACACATTTGCTCAATGGATTTATTTCGTCATATATATCATTATATATATACCGCGCCGCTTCCTAAAGCTTACAATCTGTTTTTTATTTTGTTTGTTCATTCTTTCATGTAAAGAGTAGAATGAGTGATGCTACCTTTGCTGCAGCCGTTGCTATTGCACTGCTGTTACCGTTGCTGTTCACATGGGTTGGTATATACTTTCAAATTTGAGTCTTTAGTATTATTTTAAACAAAATGCATTTATTGTACGAATACATAATCGCATCTCCACCCTACCCACCCACGTTGTTTCATGCACTCATTACACTTACACGCTCACGTGTATATAATATCTTCTCTCTATCTTTCCCCCCCCCTTTCCTATCGCCCAATACGAATAATGTACAATTGCGTATGCTACTTCAACCCTATGTGTTACTGCTTCCCACTTGATAAGCTGATTTTTCCTCAAATTTTGTTTTACGCGCCAGATGGATAATGTGCATACACATTCATTTGTCCACACAATTTTTTCTGATTTATTTTGCCATACTTAGGAAAAAAAAATATTTCCGCTGTTTGCAAATCATTCGTGGCATTTTTACTTCACAAAAGTGCCATATGAAAATGCATTTATTTTTAATTTTTTGAAAATATTGTTTTCGATTTTTCTACAATTTGACACACATGTTCCGTCTCATCCCCTTGTTGATGGTTTTTTTTTTTTTTTTTTTTATCCCCACTTTTTGCGCCCATCCTTATGCAAGTCCTGCCCGTGCAATGTACTATTTTGCATGTGTGCGTGTGTGTGTGCCTTCCGGGGAAGGTTATTCATGCATATGTACATCCACAGATATATACACATGTAGGAGTTATATATGTGCACAATTGTGTGTCTGCATGTGGATGATTGCCCACTTGGACAACTTTTCCGATTTGGCATTTTGAAAAAGACTATTCAAACAAAAAAAAAAAAAAAAAAAAAAAAAAAAAAACGACAACAATTTCGCTTTTGCCAAATTGTCCTGTTGTTTTATTTATTTCTGCCCTTACCACGTTCACAATTTTGTTCAGCGTTGTTTTTTAACAAGCAGCATTTTTTTTAACGAAAGAGCATATTGTTTGTGAACACTTTCTTTAACTACGGTTATTCCATCCCTCAGAGGTGTCTTCACAAAGGGCTAGGAGGGGGGTCGCCTCCGCGCATCTCCCTTTTATAGAAAAACCACGCCGTAGCAATTGAACTAAATTGTTGACCTTTCCATGGCGAGTGAGGGAAAAATTGACCCGCAACTTGTTATCGGTTTTATTTTTATTTATATTCCTTCAACTTTTCAGTATGTTAGGAATTATTTTTTATTTATTTTGTTATTTTAACCCTAATCTGCACGCTGCTGAAGAACGGTGCTCCCATCCTTTTGCGAAATCGCTTTGTTGAAAAGGTATACCTGGGTTGAACTTTCAAAAAGTTAGTACAAATGGGTAAAACGAAATGTTACGTTGGGAAGTGGTGGGTGCAGGGAGAAAAGCGACATACACACACATGTACACCGTATGAAAAATGGACAGGTACACCCTCGTGTAAGCTTCCACCCGTGTATGCGCACCGTGGAATGCGCCTCCCCCCGACACATATAATATACACACCTCACAGCTTCTTTATAAAAACAAAGTTATTCTGACACTTGATATCGCCGCTGTCCACCTGCACGTGGACCTGGATATTGTCGTAGAAGCTGAGGGAGAAAAGCACCTCATTATTTTCGCCGAGCTTTTGAAAGCGCTTGCGCTTCTCATCGAAAACGAACCCATCCTTCCTCTTCAAATAGCAAATGCCCTCCACGGAGTAGCACGGCAGAAATATCTGTACTCCGTTTTTCTTCAAATTTGTAATCACAGCATTGGTAATTTGGTTACCCACTTTTTTAATATAAAGGTAAGAAAAAAATTCAACCGATGCTCTTGCCGCAAATCTAGCATTTCTGTACTTTTCATTTAGTAGGGTTACTTGCTTGTTCAGGTAAATAACGTCCATGTATTTGCTGTCCAAAATTTCAATCCCATAAATGTGATTAAGAACTCGATGAACCATTATATCTGCATACCTCCTAATGGGTGATGTGAAGAAGGTATAAATATCTGCAGCCAATCCGTAGTGCCTCAGCATTTCATTATTGTGTACATTATAGCCTGAAATAAACACAGCTTCATTCATACACTTGGTGATTAATATTTTTAATATATTGGATAACACTTTGTCATCCTTCAAGTTTATATTATTAATTGAATAGGAAAGCTCCTTAGATGTGCCATATTTAAAATCGTGAATATTTATGGATTCTAGATAATCATTTAATTCTTTCAGATTTTCATTTTTTGGTGGAGGATGTCTTCTCAATACACTGGCTGCCTTGAAACCTTGGTAGATTATTCTTGCCACAGATCGGTTAGCTAAAAGCATAAATGCTTCAATCAGCTTGTTCGTGTCGTAAGACACATATGGCTTTAAATTTTTTGTCTTTGAAAAATCGTTAGATTCAAATTCGAATAGTACTTCTGAATTTCCTCTCAACTCCAGTGCGCCTTCGTTTAGCCACTTTTTCTTCAAATGCTTCGCGATGTTGTTAAGTAATCTTAGCGCCTCCGCCGTGGGGGAAGAATCTTCCTTGTCATCAATCACGTTCTGTGCTTGCTCATATGAAAAAGATTTGTTACTTCTGATTATACACTTACTCACTTTTATATCCCTAATTTCGTAATTCATATCAAATGAGAAGATACAGCTATAGGTCAGTCTGTCTTGACCTTCTACTAAGGAACATAAATCTGTGGTCAGTAATTTTGGAAGCATTTCAACACGCTGATTTATTAAATAAACAGTTGTGCATCTTTTGGAGGCTTCTAAATCTAGTGCACTATTCTGCTTTACAAAGTAAGACACATCTGCTATGTGTACTCCTACTTCAATAATCTTCTGCTCCTCCAACACTTGCACGGATAACGCATCATCAATATCTTCACAACCTGGGGGGTCAATACTAAACGTTAGCACATCCCTAAAATCTGTCCTGTTAACATATTCCTCCTCTGGGATTACCCAATCATTTGGAGGTAGGCACTTGTAAGCACTTTCGCTAAACTCTTTGGTCGATATGTTATATTCATTATAAATCAGTTTCGTTTCCGTCTCAACATCATCGCATATTCCTAACACAGATAGGCACCTCCCCAATGGGTACTTGGAATTATAATCCCATTTGTCAATGACCGCAATTACTCTTTTATTCTTTAGCTCTTCCCCTATGCTGCTCTTTATTATAACATAAGGTACCTTGTTATTAAAGGCTTTAAAGAATAAAATTTTCTTCCTGTGTGCACTTTGTTCCTTTTCATATGCCTTTATCACTCCTCCATATTCTTTTCTTCCTCTGCTAATAATTCCGACTACCTTTCCGTACACTTTGCCCTTCCTGGCGTTGTTTATTGGGGGGTTCTCCTCTTCGTTTCTTCTATTTGGCCCCGCGTCAAAATGTTCCTCCTGCTGCTTCTCCTCCTCTTGCTCTTCCTCCGGACTGATGACCTCCTCGAAGTAGTCTTCCTCCTCCTGCCCGGACAGTTCCCCCGCCTCACCATACTCCAAAATCTGCACCGCCACCACATCATTGTGTAGTGCTCTGTTCATGTGTTTAGACCCCCTTATAAGAACTTCATCCGTTTCTGTAATTTTTACTAGAGCCATTTTATTAACGCAAATGACTTGGAAAATGCCTTTCACAATGAGCTGATCCCTAAGCCTTTGAATCATTTCCTTTTTATCCAAGTGGGGTTCGAATATTCGTTTGCTTTCTGCCATGGGGTATGTATCCTCATTAGAATCTTCTTGGCCATTGTCCACACCTTCCCCCTTGCTATGCTGCTCATCCATTAGTATGTCTTCTTCGAAATACATTTTTAATGTGTCCAAGTTGATGGCACCATGTGCATCATCTTGTTTTGTCCTCTCCCTTCTTAACCCCTTTACATATTCATACATACTAAAACAAGAAATGTCATTTTTCAAGCAATCATCTTTTAAAAATTTATTATTACTTAGGACGATTAATTTCAGGTTAGCATTATGTTGCTTAACCCATATAACCATTTTTATAATTTCTTGAACTTGCTTCGTGGACAGATCTGCATTATCATCCACGTAGGTAAATTTACAAAATTTGTTCGCAAAGACGCTGTATCGCTTCCTACTACAGGCATTACTATCTTCTGTCTCGTAACACAACTCGTGTAGCTTCTTATGCAAAATTTTATTAAAGGTCCTCACATGTTCATACATCGTCAGAGGGATTAATATATTATCCACATTGCACTCGTATAAGAAGTCTATATATTTTACTATGGTGTTTATGTCTAGGATAAGAATACTTCTCTCTCCATCTAGGTACTTTTTTTTGTTTTTATTTTCGCATACGTTACATCTCTCTACTCCACAACTTATGTCGTTTCGAAGATACACCTCCCTCACGATTTTCGTAATTCGGTGGTTCGCGCTGCACTTGTAAAAGCATTTTTGGACGCGCTGGTCATTTTTGCGGTTTAAGAACTTGAAGCGTTGCATGATGTGGCACAGGCGCGGTGACCAGGCCAAGCGATAATTCTCCTAACCGGGCAAACTGCTAATTTTCCACTCACGGATGGGCCAATGACGAACGCGGTCACGTGGTGAAGGGCCCGCTGAATTGACAAAGGTGCCGCGTACTACCGCAGTTCACCGCGTACCAACTCGAAATGCACAATTGGAATGGAACCTCAACGAGGATCTGCCACACATGCGCACAACCTGCTTCTGGAGAGCTCTGTCGAAAAAAACGTCGTCATGAAGAAGTAGCAAAAGTGCAGAAGCTTCAGAGGGCAAGAAAAAGAGAAACAAAAACAAAAAAGAGAGAACAGTAAAAAAAAATTAATAAATTAAAACACTTAACAATAATTGCCCCACTTTTGCAACTAAAAAATTTGCATTTTCGAAATAACGCTACTCAGTTTTGCACTTCCTACAGTAGCGCACTTAAGCTTCACAGTGCGTGAAAAAAAAAAAAAAAAAAAAAAAGCACCCTCTGTGTAAACACCTCCAAATATGGGGGGATGGAAAAAAAAAAAAATAAAAAAGTTGGAATCGATCCACATTTCGTTCCTTCATTTACAAGTCCGACATAAGGATCCCTAACACATTCATTTGGCTTTTATTTTTCTTAACACTTTTTTTTTTTTTTTTTTTCATTTGCGCGAATTTCCCCGTTTTCGCCTAGGCAGTCCAGGGCCCTTTTTTGGTACTACTCCGCATACATCATTCCGAAAGGAAACAAAAAAATTCGTGCCACTAAAAAAATACACATTTTAAGAAAAACTCCATGTGTGATTGGCTTCACGTTCATTACATGGAGTAGACCTCTTCTTCACTTCCCCACCATTTAAGCAGAAAAAAAGAGGACAAACATAAGGACAAAACAACGCGGGAAAAAGTAAAATGGACAGGTACAGTAAATCGTGGAGAAAATAATACCATACGAGTTAAAAAGCGCACAACGGGTGAAAAACAAAGGGCATACATGAAAAGCAAAGTCGCAGCGCAGACAACCAAAGTGGCCTGTTTGAACAACTGACGGAGTGTGTTTTTCATGCCCACTAAGCTGGTCAATGATGCCTCACCATGTTTGCCCTAAACTGTAAGGCTTACCGTTCCCCTTAATATTATTCCCCCCCAAAAAAAAACATGCAGGACAAAACCCAAAATCCCGCCTTCGTCATATTTAATCTTTTGTAACTCCGAGCGGGAAAATGTGAGGCAGCTTCTACTGGAGAAGTCTGAAAACCAGACGACGGTAAAGGCCTACTTGTTGTAAATACTAGATCTGCATAAAATCGCATCATGCCAAGGCAATCATGCGAAAGATGCTCGTATGTGTGTGATCTCCTGCCGTCCATATTCAATACTAAATAGAATGACGATCCCCCTTTTTTTTTTTGCTCACTCTTCTTTGTACGATTGTTGCTCCCGTGTGTAAAGATTAGAATAACGGACATTCAGAAGGAACTGAGCAGCAAATGGAAAAACCTATCAGAGGAGGAGAGAAAGGTTAATCAGGAAAACGAATAAGACAATAGGGAAAAGGAGAGAGAACCAAAAAAAGAAAGTTTACATACTTTGGCTGTCCCCATTTTTTTATTTTTACTCTGTAGGTGTATGAGGAACAGGCACAACTGCTGAAGATAAAGTATAACCAAGAGCTCCTCGATTGGGTAAAATGGATAAACCTAGATAGACATGACAACCCACTGAAATGGGCCTACATACATATAAAGAAGAAAAAATAAAAAAAAAAAAATAAAATAATAGCCTTTACCCACCCCATAGTAACTGTTCCATTGTAACTTTTCCACTGCAACTGCTCCATTGCCATTCCCCCCCTTTAATCGTTCAACAGAAATCCGGAAACGCAGACGCAGCAGGAGACACGTTAGGCCAAGAGGAGCGGAGATCATTTTATTCTTTTTTTGTTTTTTTTTTGTAGCACCTCATTATGCAGCCCACATACTCAAAACATGCGCACTGTACAACGAATATGATTCATTATAAAAACATTTTTTTTTTTTTTTCGCATGTCTGACCATATACACACCACAGCGGCATAATTAGCACGTCCAAATTTCCTGTTGTTAAAATTCAGAAAATTATGCACCTAAATAAGAACGTTAAAAAGGTAGGAAAAAGGAAGTAGCCTCGAAAGGGTGTACGTCTTTCCCAACAAGGCACGATTGCGTCTATTCCCCAATGTGAGCAAAATACCGTCTACATGGCGGGAACCCCTTTTGTACCTTTTTTTCAGATAAACAGTGAAGCCATTAATGTTTTCCAAAGAGCTATGGTTAGATAAAATTGGGGCAAAAAGGCAGATAAAAAAAATGTACTAAATTTTTTTGTGCATGCGTGAAGGTACCTCTAACTCCTGTGTGAATATTTCTTTCCTTACATTCATCTCCCCCACCATGAATACCGCACAATGCCCCAATAGGTCATGTTCCTAATTGAACTGGTGAACAAAACCATTGAATTCAAAAATGAGAAGAACACGTCCAAATTTATCACATCCCTCGACATAAGTTAAAAACGAATGAACTTTTTTTTCGCTGCGTTTGATATTACAACGACGCTTGTTTATACCATTTTTGCAACTCCACGGATGAGTGGGCTGTGCAGTTGTGTACGTTTCGTACTATTGGGAGGCCTACACACAAGTGCCCCCTCAAATGATGCACACGCATACCCACTCAACTTCTGTGCACCCCTTCAGTATGGTGCATAAAGAGAGAAGGCATAAAATATAAATTTCTCGAAGGTCATAAAAAGAAAGCACAATTACCCACACCCAGAATTGTTAAAATGTTTAAACACTAAAATGTATATGTGTACGCGTGTATGCCGTTATGATATATATTTTTTTTTTTTTGCCCTTTCCCCCGGCAACGCATACAGATTGTCTGTACCTACTGAAGGATCAAAGCATAAATACATTCTTTGTTGAGGAGGAAGAAAACGACGGTAATGGTTTAATCAGACAAGAGCACAAAATTTACTTATATTCATTGTGCACATTTAGCGCATTGTGGAGGGAACAAGGGAGAGCGTTACAAGACGATACATTATCGCGCCCAAAAGGCAGGCTACTGACTCTAACTCAAGCAGCTGTTTTCCCCTTGTTCCATTTTAAACCCCAAATGGAGTTCACATTTATGCTTCTCCATATGTATGCTTCAATATTTCTATTACACCACCTCGATATATTAAGTCCTTCTTTGCCCATTTCGTAGAATCCTTATTTGATCTATGCAATGAAGACAAAAAGGAATACAACTACGATGTTGAGGAAAAGAAACTCAGCAGGATGAAACGAAAGGGACAAGGAAACAGGGCCAAGGAAAAAACAACAGAAAATAGAAACGTATATGCAGACATAACGACGTATTTTAAAAAGGTTTGACGGGAGGGACGGAGGGAGGTACAGCAGAAGAGGTTTAATCTGGAGGATGCACACTTTATGGAGTCCACTTGGGGTAGTCCTGTCCGTACAGATCACTGCACCCAACCCATTTTGAAATTTACAACAAAAGGGGTTTTGCTATCCTGTCCGCTAAAAGCAACAACTTGGCTTAAAAGCAAAAGCAATTCCTATCACGATTCGAACGAACCAAATATTTTCCTGAAAAGGCTTAACCCCCTTTCCATGTGTCATTTGTAGTTAGCTGTATTTTTTTTTTTTTTTTTTTTTCCCACACAAAAACTCTTTCAAAAACGAATGAACGTAACAACGCCACTTTTGAAATGCTGAACAAGCGCATCACTGTGTATAAAAAAAAAAAAAAAAATGTAAACCACTTCAAATAGGCAATGTGCCAGTTTGCATCCTGCGCGCGTGCGCAAATTGGCTGGTTGGCACATTAAGTGCATCGACTGTTATGGTAACAAGAAATGCAAATCCAAAACAGCCATGTCAGGAGGCGAAACTTCATCGCAGCGGAACAGCGAAATCGCGCTTGTCCCAAATGCACAACACCCCGCTCCTGATTCAACGCTACATGTAGATTTCTCGCCCATGTATTATACATGACTACATTGAATAATAAATTTTTTGTTTTTTTTTTTTGTAACCTTTCACCCTTTCCAATCATTTTGAAGGGAAACAACTCGAAGCTCTGAATTTTCCCTCCATTAACCGCACAGTAGTTAGTAGAAGTGTCGCAGCGCTGCTTCGGCCCAAGAGAGGCGACGCACAGGGATGTCCCAAGCTTCGTGTTGTTAATGAAGTAATAAAAAGGCAAAAAGAGGACAAGGAATAGAAAAAGAAATAAAAAAAAAAATGACAAATAAGGGATAGCAAATCGTACCACAATAGCCACATAGGGAAACGCCAATTTGTGTTGAGACCACAGGGAATAAGTGAGGATCCTTCACCAATTGGTACTTTCCTAAAGGAGTACTTTTTATAAAGTGTTGTGTCTGTCCCTCCCCCTGAACTGCCTCTCAAAATGCGCACGAACGAGGGAAAGAAACACATCGCACTTATAGATGCGGACCATTACATAATAAACTACAAAAGCACCATAACGACTTATATACAAAATATATGTAACAATCTCCTAAAGGGAAATGGGGACTCAGCTGATCATGCTAATAAGGATTTCGACTCCAAGAGGAGGGAAAGGATTATCTGCCTTTTCATGTTCAGCATGTATCTTAACAATATTCACAGAAATTTAAATCTGTTCAGTTATTTACATGACGTGTTGATAAAGTATAACCGTCTGATGGGGAGAATCAGAGCCAGTGAAAGAGGGGCACCAAAGAGTAATGATAGGAAGACGGACAATCTGCACCATGGGGAGGTGAATGAAACTACCCAGGGTGCAGGAACATCGCAACAGACGGAAATGGAATCCCCTGCCGAAGAGTACATGGGAAAGGAGGGTGAAGGGTGCAGCTTTAGGGAAGGCCCTAGTCGAGATGAGAACAGCGGCGAAAGTGGAGACATGTCCCACTTCATGCACGATCTGATAAAAGATAAAAATTACGTTAACATGGACAACGTGACCGAGTCCAAAGTCTGCTTCTTAAACATAAAAAATAAAGGAAAAAATGAGAGGGGGGAGTCGCCTGAATCGTTAAGAAATGCCTGCTATGGGGAAGGGCACATGTGTGCAACTGAACTGAGCAGCAACTCGAAGAAGGGTGCCATCGATCTGGGCCATGCGACTAAGGGGAGCGGCACTAGTGACAGCGATGAGGATGAGGAGAAGGAGATAGACGGCATGGAAGACATCGCTGATGAGTCCGCCAAGTGTGCTGTGCATCCCGACGCCGATGACACACCTCGCTGGGCCAATCGCAGCACGCGGGTTGAGGCTCTTGATGAAGCGAGTCTAGAGGACCCGCAAGATGACTCCTTCCACGAATCGCACGGTAGCACCTACCGCTTTAGCAACGCCTCGCCAGTGTGCCAAGGTCAAAAGCAGTTTTTAATAAACTACAGTAGTGTACACATGAAGGTGACAATTTTCAACCGTCTATTCTGTGTGGAAAACTTTTTAGTGCAACAAAAAAACATAAAACATTCCTCGAAGGAAATAGAAAACCTGTACAGAATAATTGTGCTGTCCAAATTACACATAGGAGTGTACCGCTTTTTAACCTTTTTAAAAAAAAAAAATTTTTTTTTAATATTTTTCAGTTCCAATAAAAAGTTAACACAGACATTATTCAGGTATTTTAAAATTTCAAAGCATTTTAAAAATTGTTACAAAATAATTGACTCATTTGAGGAACTGAAAAACATTGGAGACGCCGATAAAGAGGTCCTCATATTTAGTAATCGTGAATGTTTTGTAAGTTGCGCAAAAAGGGAAGGATATTTTAAAGTAGCAGGAGGGAAGAAAAATGCCGCCATGTCCACAAACTGTGATGACGTCAACTGGGATGCGTTAAAACAAAAGGACAGTCTTCTTTCAAATACTTCAGATTACATATCGAATAAATATAACGACGTTGTGTATCCCTTTGTGCGAAATTGTAATTTAACGGAAGACATATTATCATGGCGCATTTTTTATATTTTTAAAAAATATATGTACATACACGGAACAGTGGTCAAAGGATTTGGAAGAGGCAGTAAATACTTAAACATACCCACGGCAAACATTTCCTACTCCAACTTAACCTCCACTGATATTATGCCTGGCATATATTTTGGTATATCCAGATTGAAAAAAAAAATTTACAAAACGGTGGTTTCAATAGGCTATAATCCCTTCTTTGAAAATAAACACATAACTATTGAAGCCTTTTTATATTACAAAACGAATACTTTATTTTATGATGAGGACATCCATTTAATTATTGTTGGTATTCTTCGAAGCGAAAGTAACTTTTCCTACTTTTCTCACCTCATTCATGCCATCCAGTTTGACTGCGAAATGGCACGAATCATAATTAGCAGACTTCAGGATGACGAGCAGTTTGTCCGCTGCAGGGATTACCTCCAGTCGTTGTAGCGATGGGTGACAGGCGTGGCAGAGGTGGCAGCGGCGTATATGTTGCGTGCAGGACGTATGCCATATACCAATGTGCAGCATCCCTCCCTTTTGCCACTTACTGCTGAACAGATAACCATCAAAAATAAATAGGGAAATAGGAAAAAAAAAAAAAAATACTCCAGCGTAGGTCACCCTTCAAACGAGTTCCCAACCCATATTTGTAAAACTATTCCATTCGTATGAACTGGAAAGAACATATACAAGTATTGTTCCTGCATGTGTCCCTTTTTTTTTCTTTACTGTGCCATCCGTTCCGTCTCTTCAGAGGGGTATTTGCGTGTGCGTAACGGCATGTGTAAATTATTCCCATTGGCTCATCTGCTTTTACGCCTATTCGTCAATTCATTTTATTTATTTTCGCACCCTTGTAAGACCGCTTCTATGGTCTTCCCCTCTCAAGGTGTTTAACCGATTTGCCAATTTTATAAGTCACTTTGTTTTTCTTTCGTTTTTTTTTTTTTTTTTTTTTTTTTCCCCTTCCGGCGCAGCCACTTGGAAGAATTGGACATGGACATTATTGCATAAAGTGGGACATAACAAAAAGGAGCCCCCTTGGGGGCGTATTGGTATATAATATATTTGTTCTGCTTTAGTAGGAATTTTTTTTTTTTTTTAAATTCTCTCACGTTATGCAATACATAGTTACCACCAAAAAAGGGAACCAAAAGAAACAAATCTGTTTGCAAAGGGAAGCACTTGGCACTTTGTTAGCCACTTTGAAGTTAACATTATTTCCTTTTTCTTATTATCCGCATAGGGTTGTTGCTTACCTACATTTAGCTTGCATCCTATTTTTGAAAAAAAAAAAAAAAAAAAAAAAAAAAAGATTTGTAAAATTTATCTTATGGGAATGTTTTGCTGAGCTTCCGCCACCCCCAATACCAGATTAAATTTGCCTGTTTCAAGGCAGCTTGTTGTAGGCTTTTTTTTTATGCCCCCAGTTGGCAATTGAACTCCGAGAAAAAGAAAAAAAAAATGTTTGCCTTTTCCCCTTGCGGAAATTAAAAAGAAGAACGACCTGTTGTTGAAAGAACAGATATAAAATTGCGCTCTATTTGCGTTTCATACTTGTTCGCAATTTATTTGTTTTTATTTTTCGAAAAATTGAACCTCCCAAATTAACCCGTTGTTATTATCCTGTCAGGGGAAGATGGTCCATATGGTGAACCATATCGCCTGTATCGCATAGCTTCAACAGAGGTACATTTTTTTTTTTTTTTTTTTTTCAAATTTGCTTATTTGTACGTGCTACTTTTATGTGGTACGTAGAGTTTTCGAGTTTGACAAGCGTTTTCATTTGCGCCTTTTCACTTGTTCGCGCCAGCTCCTATGTTTGTGTTCGAGCCAAGTAGCCGCACGTTAAATGGAGCATAATTCAGTCTCGTAAAGTGTTTGACAAAGTTTGAGGAGTCAGGAAAAAAAGTGAAGGAGGAGGTGGCCACCCGGGAAACATTCAAATTGGAAGGGACGTTTTTTTTTTTTAATTATATTCCCTGTGACTGTTACTGGTTGGTGGCACAGTTCTAAGGTAACACCATCGACCAACTAACTCCTTCCGAACGGTCAGCGCACGAGGCACAGTCAGTAAGCACGAATTAGGCTACTTCCGTTCAGCAGAATAATCTACAAAATTAAGGGAGTAATGAAAATAATCAGTTAAAAAGTGTCACCGCCTCCTCATCATTACTTGGACATATAAAATACGGCAAGCCAATGTAGGTGTTGTCATTACAGGGAGCGCGCCTATATATATAATACAAACGATCGAAGGGCGGTTATTAGAAGACTGCCACGAGACCAGTGCTAACCATCGCTAGTCTACATTACTAGCCTGCGTTGTGCACATTTTCTGCCCTACTGAATTTGCCGTTTAACACCCCCTACATTGGCACCATGTTGAGCAAACAGCTGAACGACCTCCGTGTGCAGAAGCGGGTCCAAGTGTTTGAAGATAGGAACATAGACAAGCTGACCAGGAACAAATATAGCCTATTTAGGAACGTGTACAAAAATGTGATCGTGTCCCCAGCGCATGCAGAATCATTAAAGAGTTGCCTGCGCAAGTTGATAGACATAAACAAATCATTTAGGCGGTTTGAGAAATTGTTCTACCTGGAGGAGAGCGATGTGTTGCACAGTTTTTACGACCATGAAGGGATGGAAGAGAAGCTTATGGAGGGGGAGTATCAAAATGGGGGTACAGGAAATGATAAAATTGATACCAGTTTGGATGACCAAGTTTACCGGAAGCACCGAGAATTCCTGACAGAGGAAGAACAAAGCTTGATCTTCAAAAAAGTGAAATCATTTCTAAGGCTGTGCTCCATTTATGCGAATAGAAAAGAAGTGAAAATCCTGATCGAGTTTTTAATATACAAGTACGAAATAAATGTGAAATGCAGCGAAGACATTTTGCTGTGTATTTTACCCAACCTTTCCTTGGCACACGTGAGCAACATTTTGGAGATTATCTATATAGAAAAGAGTTCTGCCTTTTTCTTCATAAATAACTTCAAGCACGAGGATCTGAAAAATGTCGACCAATCCGTGTTTGTTCATCACATAAAGAGGAACATATCCATATATAAAATTATCTTCGAGTATGTGGTGGAGTTGATATATAGCAGTGACGTTGCTACGGTTGACGCCTCCGCGCCGCAAAGCCCCAACAGTGCGACAATCCCGTATGTGCACTTCTTCATCTCAGTGACGGAAGATATCATCCACAGCTACATCGACATACCTGTTCAGATAATTGAATTCTTCTGCAACGTGTTGCTCGTACTGTTGAGAAGATGTGGAAAGTCCTTCGAGGTGATCAAGTGCGCACATAGCAAGTGGGAAAAGAACGACTATGTCACCCCACACATGGCTCACTCTGTGGCCACTCTCCAAATCCACCACTGCGTAGATTTTCTGGAGAAATTTGTGAAAACCTTCGAGGAGGCAATTGGAAAGTGCAAAACGGGGTTCAACTTTGACTTTTTGAAGAACAAAATTTTTGCCTTTTTTGACAGAAAGTTTTTATCATCGCTGGAGGGTGGGGGAGCAACGTGGATGGGAGGAGAAGACCGAATCACCCATGATGTGTCACCCCATGCCAGATTTATGCGTTCTTTACTTGTCCTTTTAAACATAATTTACAAAAATGCGCATCATATATCCCTCGCCAGCTTTGTTAAGGAGGAACAGGCAGATATGGGGGCAACTCCACAACGGGAGAGACTCACATCGGAACACCAAATAGATGAGAAAGTCATGCAAGGCATAATAAATTTTGCAAAGGAAAACAAAAAAAACTGTTTCGACAACAATATAAACGCCATCATACAGGATCACCAGGCTCTGCAAAGTTTGATGAACCTCCTATACAAGCTTAACAGCACCTACGAAGTGACAGACAATTTGTTAAAAATCGTGTTAATAAAGAGCTATGCTTTGAAGCTTAATTGGTTTTCCATAGAACAAATATTTTGGCAAACGCTTAGGAGTAAACAAAATTACGTGTTCAACATAATCGCCATGATAAATTTTATATCATTTTATATTTTCTTAATAAAATCAAGGGAGTACGAATTGGATGAAGGGATCTCTGAAGGTTCAAAGTTGAAGAAAAGTGTAGAATCGTTACGCACGAGGAATATTGTAGAAGCATTTCTGGGGAAGGTATCCCATGCGAACTCCCTTCACCCAGAGGTTATAATACGAAGTGAACACTTGTACCACATTGTTAAATTTTTCCTAAAGGAAAATAACGACCTTTTTAAGAAAAAAATTATTTTGTTCGAACTGTATAGCAAAATAGACGAGCGTTTACTAAGGCTGATTAAGGGGGCTAATAACAAACTTCACCGCCTGCACATTTTCAACGCCCTTGGTAATGACAAAGTCGATTTAAACAACCCTGAAGTGGTGGAGCGGGCCGTCAGGACTGTTAAGTACATGTATGACCACCGAATGGGCAGCGATACTTCAGCGGAATTGACTGTAGAAGAACCAACCGATTGCACAACCGGCGAACCGTCCGAGGAGGTGTCATTTTCCCTTGGAACAATAAAAAAAGGAAAGAATTTTTCCAAATCAAAGAGAAATATCGAGTGCCTGTACGCGAAAATATTCTACCAGTTGAGACAAAATAAAATTCAGTGCATGGATTACTTGAAGAAGTACGAACAAGAACTAATATATTTTTTCCCGTCCAAAAAGTATTTATACCGCATAATGTTTGACACTTTCAATGAACTGAAGAATCGCAACTTTTGTGAAATTGACAGTCAGAGAAATACGACGTTTCTGAAATTTTATTTGAAGTTATTTATAATCAAACTTAGCAAGTTGGAAATGAAAAATAATGTGAAATTGCAAAATGAAAAATTTTTTAAAAAATTCATCAATGTCAATTTTGCCTTTTTTTTCGTCCTTTATGATTACCTACAAAATAAGCACCTCTACCCGAACAATTCCTTCTTTTCGAGAAATATTTTATCTGGCAGTTTCAAACTGGTAGAGCAGTTTTTAACATTACTAATAAGGTTGAAAGACGTTCAGGGTTACACATTTGAGGAGTTCTTCCAAGCAGAATTGAAGCAGCGCCGCTGCCAAAATATCAAGGGGGTTATAAGACACAGTATTCCTTTCAGGGCACTCATACTTTGCAGAATTGTGCGCTACTTGTCGACGGAAGTGGAAAACTCCTTAGGGGAGTATATAGGTGGGAGCGTACTGGACAGGGGACAAGTGAAAGATTGTCTGGTGGAAGGCAACTCACTTCCTGCAGATGACTTAAAACGTTTCCTCCTGAATGTCCTCAAATGTGTATTCAAATACCTCGAGGACGTCAGCTGTATTAGAGAAGAATCGGAGAGCCGCATCTACAAAAGCATTGAGGAGTCGTTTCAAAAAACCATATTACAATTTAGAAGGATAAATTCATCAGTGACTTTTTACCTGTACTGTAAATATATAAACACATTTTTCCTGAGCGACGCATACATCCAATTTGTGTTGAAGACCTTGGACCTCTTCTTCTGCATTTTCAAAATTGAAAAAACGAAGAAGTATATAAAGGACAGAAACATATGCAAAACAATCATTGAGGAATTGTTTCGAATGAAATTAAAATTATTTAAAAATTTTAATTTGAAGTCGTTTTACCAAAGTTTTCTCCTGTCAATTATGATGGTCATATTTCCCGACATAGCAAATTCTCAACGGCACGCGAGTATGATGAGTCTTGCAAAAAAAAGTTGTCACGATGGTTCCTTTGCCATTGATTATTTTCTCATTAATAAGCTGTTTGAAAAGGACAAGGGGAAGAAATGCGAAGGAATTTTTCATTTGTTAGAAGACAACCAGAAGGAACGGGGGGTCCTCCCCCATGTACAGCACGGCGGGGAGATGAGTACCTCCAACCAGGGAGATCAACCCAACAACACACCATCACAACCTTCAAATGAATACAGCGTTACGCACTTCTTTGCAAATCGCAAAAGGAACAGGAAAATGGGTATAAACTATGAAGAAAAGAAATACTACTTGTTCATTTTCGCATACCTAAGTAGGCCCTTTTTTGATACCTTTCTGTCTCACTTCCATAATTTCTATCGCAAAAATTATATATATGGGGAGTTCTTGCAGGAAGCTTTAGTACGAGCCTTTTTGAGAAAAATTATGCGTAGAAATTCATACCCTTATAAAATTACCAAAATATATAAGGCCATATTGGGCGCTAAATGTGACGCATCCCTGAAGAAGAGGGAACTATTTCTCTTCCTTCATCTGGTCGATTTTTACGTCAACGCTTTGGAGAATGCGACTATGAAGAGGGGCAAGCGGGGGGGCAGGAAAAAAGGTGAGCAAGTCCCAACGGAGAAAAGCCTCCCCAATGAGAATGGCACCATGAGTGCGATGACTAGTTGGATGAACTACTTCACTGGAAAGGACAACAGCAGCGCAAACAAGGCGAATGAATCCACATACGTATCGGAGAAACTCCTCAAAAAAGTGAATTTACAAAATGTCCAAATGCGGGGATGCTCAGACACGCAGACATTTAATAGCAAGAAAAAAATTAAAAAAATTAAGTACAAAAATATAGTGAACGAACCAGCAGGGGAAGAAGCGGACAAAACATTTTTCCAAAATCTGAAAGGATTTTTTAAGTACCATGAAAATCTGTTCGCAAATTCATATTTCAAAAAAGAATTAGAAATAAAGGCCGTCTGTGAAGGGATAATATACCAGGTCATAAAATTGAAGAACAGGTATATAACAATCCAGTTGCTTTGTATTAGAAACTTTGCCACCAGCTCCCTGTTCACAAAAGATTTACAGTCCTACATTGATAAATTAGAAATAGCAAACTTGATGCTGTTTAAGAAATTGTTTTCCAACAAAGCGCATCACGATTATCACTCCATTTTGCTCATGTGCAAAAATGTTAGTAGTGTAAAGGAGAGGAACAAAATATTGCTATTCATGGAGGAGCAGATGATACAGGTCGGCAAGGAACAAGGCACCTCCGCGAGTCACATGGCTATCCTTAAAATTGTAATTGCTCTGTCGGATAGCGTTGCAAGAGGCAGTGGAAGTGGAGAGGCGCCCGTGGAGGACCCCTACCAAGCCCAGTTCGTGGAAACCCACATCAGAATATTTAAAAAAATTGCAAAATACGCACAAATAAGTGATGTCATGTTTTTGAAGCTACTAAAATATATAAGCAACATTTGCAGCCTCGTATATGAAGTCCCCGAGCTGGTAGCGCAGCACTTTTCGCTCACTGGAAATAATTTCCTTTTCGACGTTGTTGCCTTTTTCGAAAAAAATTTGTTTTATCTGTGTGAGGATGTTACAGCCCATTTGAAGCCCCTGGCGCACATTTTGGACAAAACGATTAAGAGGAAGATTTTCCTCTTTGTAAGGGCCAAACACATGGCTGCCGCTGCCGATGCTGAGATGGAGGGGGAAGGCATAGGAAATTTACGCCCCAATTCTGATGCCCATGCAGATCCACACAGTGGCCACCATAACGCAAACGGAGATAATCGCAGAGGCGGGAATATGCCCACTTTAGCAATTCGCTCAAATGACTCTACAAAAGGCTACGGACACGAAGTCATGGCGGAAGCCGAATTAGCAGAAGAAGGAGTAATTTGGAAAGCGTACAATGGAAGTGTAAGCCCCACCCTCGGATTACCAACCATGGAGATGAGCGAAGCACAGCACATGGTCAGACACTACCACCTCCACACCTTTGCTTACATTTGCACATTTATTAACCGCATATTTAAGAACGAAATAAATTTAGAGCACTTCACGGTCATAGTCAATAATTTAATTTTCCTCTTCAACAAAAAATACACATCGTATGTTATAGCCATTTGCCTCATAAATATAATAATAAAAATTAAGTTGGAAAAATTACATGCATGTAGAAATTATCTGCTCGAAATTTGCCACGTCTACTTTACCAGCGATTTAGATTATTGTATTAATAATCACTTGTTGCTACTTCTGGGATTGTATCTCTGTCCACACACACCTGAGAAGGATGAATTGGTGGACGGATCGCGCAAGTCACACGGGGATGATCACACAAGTGGGGGAGACACTCCACCTAAAACGGCTAATATACATGCCCCGTACGAAGACTTAAGCACGATTTACCCAGAGTATGTATTATCCAAGCTGAAGTACTTCAAGCCACATCTGAAGAAAGTTAAGAATAATCAGAATCTGTGTCTCAAAATAATTTCCCTCATATCTATAGTTAACACACTGAACAGAAATGCAATAAAATCTATTTCATATTTTATTTACATTATGACCCTACAAAATTTTGTACTCTGTTTTTGCTTCGCCAAAGATAAAGCCATTAACAGGAAGCTGAATATCCTCTTTAAGAAATTTTCATTTAGAAACACCGATACATTTATCTGGGCCTACGTGTTGAATAATTTCAAAATGGGGGGGGTCATTTCTGAGAGAGGAGATGCAATCGTTGGTAAATCCTCTAACGATGCTAAATCGAGGGGCCTCCACTTCGAGGAGCTATTCATACTCAAATTTTTACAAAACCTGAACAAGCTAAAGGACAACATGAAATTTGAAGAGGGATACAAAAAGTTTCTACGATGCAGAGAGAAGACAAACAACCATGGCACAGACTCACAAAACAGTGCAGCTCAATCCGAGGAACATTTCCTCTTTGATATTTTTAATGACCTATTAAAAAAGGAAACATATGATGAAAACGAAATTAGTAGCATTATGAAAAAAAGTCTGTTCCACTTTTATGAATTCCTAATAAATAAAATGCTCACGGTGAATTCTGTCAAGTACCCAAACCTGTTTAAAGAAATGTCTATTTTCATGAACCAGAAATTGAACACCGGAACGGACGTGAAGCCAATATTTGACGCCCTCATTTATTTCCTATACACTAGGAAAAATGAAAAGGCCATCGCGTCACTCAATCAAATGTATATTTATAACATGTTCAATAAGGCCTTATTCAAAATTTATGTGGATGATTGTACGAAGATAATTATCATTTCCAAGGTGAACGAAATTTTGAGGACCCTATTTGAACAGATCTACTTCATCGTAGCGAATGAGCAAAAGAACAGGTGTAGTAGTGCTGCTCTGCTACATGGGGACCCTTCTGATGAAGCGGAGATAATTTCCTTAAATGATCTGCAAGGAGATACGGAGGGGGACATTCGCGGTACAGACAATATGCCAATTGACAATGCAACTTTTAAGGGACCATTTTCTGGAAAAGCGAAAAAGAAGAGAACCTTCTCTAGCGAAATGGACATGATAAATGATGAATACAGAAAGTATTGTGAGCGCGTGGGTCGTTTAAGCAAAGGGCCACTCAGGGAAAAAACAAGCGTTGATATGCAAAACAATAATGCGTTTCTTGAAGGGGTTGACCAAGCAGATAAGAACTCCACATACCTGTCCGATGCGGAATCGATCGACTTGTATTCCACGCTGAGTGATAATAATGATGATGAGGAGGATGATAATGACGGGGGTAACAACTCAGAGTGCACCGAACAGGAAAGCGTAGGAAAAGGTACAAAATGGAGTGACGCCCAAATTGCACACATAAAAAATACAAACAAGATGAAAGATCTGAACAGCATTTTACTTCTGGACCTCTACCCCCTGAACACAATAGTGAAGTGTATATCGTCGGTGCTGCTTAACTTCCCGCTTTTCACGAAAAAACACCTGATTGAGTTATTCAGAATTATGTTTTTAAAAAATAAGCATTACATTCTAATCAATGAGAAGAATGTCCTACAAAATAACTTATACAATTTGAACAAAGCAAACAAAATGAAGCATATTGGCAAAGTAATGATGAATCCATTGAAGAAACTAAACATGTATCACTTATTTTTTATTTTTTCAAATAATCATTTGGAACTTTGCTTAAAGCATGTAGTGAGGTACTTCAAGAAAAACTTCCTCCATGTGGCGAAGAGGAAAACAACATACAGCTATAACGAATCCGTCATTTTGAACAACGCTCTATTTGTTTATCAACATTTGGTCATTTTTCAAAGCAGCTTATCTACCTCCAATAAGGGAAGCTCCGATTTAGGGTTGACATTACTCTTCTCTATTATAAAGGCTCACTTTAAGAATTGTGCCAAGTATGTTACCAGTCTCGTTCATAAATGGGGAGATAAAATAGAAAAGCTTAACGGAGAACATTTCTTCACTTATTACAGTAACCACTCCGATGCAGGAAAAAGGACAAGTGCACTAACCGTGGATCTAAGAATTGAGGAAGAGAACATTGTGAAGTCTTTAGTGTACACCTCAACCAAAATGAAAATGTCTTCCTTGGGAAACCTATTTGATAAACTTCTAGCATCATTCGAGAACCCAAATTTTGAATCCAAATCGAGTTCCCTCCTGGATAGCTACAAAACTGTCTACGAGAGGAGAATTTATTTCCTCTACTTTTACAGACTGTATCAAAATTTTGGTTCCGTCTTGAGTGAGAAGAATAAGTACCTTTTCGACCTCCTGAACAATATCAAATTTGTGCTACTTGCATGCCATAGGAATTCTTGCCAGTTGGGTTCCTCCAGCGCAACGCAAGAGGCCGCCAAAGGAGATGATACTAACTCTGCGTGCGAAGATACCCATGAGGATGCTCTCCAAAGGGATACTAATTACAACGTCGAGTATACTACCACTGTGGAGGGAACGAAACGAAGGAAGGTAAAAAAAGGAGTGGCTATCAGAAGCACTTGGTATTGGTTTGACCTGGGTTACTGCACTCTCCTATGTCTGTATGAAATTCTAAAAAATGAAAAAAAAAATCAGAAAAATTTTACCCCCATATTTTACGAAACCTGTTTCGATTATGTTATAAATTGCTTCGATATTTTCGCATACCTTCCAAGAGTGCACGCAAACGATGAATTTAAAAACAGCATCAACGAAGACGTCATACGATATAGCGAACACTTGGACATAAAAATGGTTTCTATTGCCCTCCTCGACATTTTAAAGCTAATGCTCTTTGAACTATACTCCTTATATATAAATGACCCAGAAAAAATACAAATCATGACCATGAGACTTTCCTTAAAAAATGAAAATAACAACACGAGCAGTAATGTTACCCTCTCCATTATACTGACTTTGAAATATATCTTTGACACTATTGGGTATAGGGAATTGCTCTTTGCCGTCACAGATTTGTATCAGCTATTTTCAGAACTGAATGATCATCCTGATGACGAAATTGAATTTGTCACCAAAGAGTGGTTCGCTTCGATAAGTAAATTCTCGGCTGAGGGGTGACCCCATGAGGATACGCACCCGTTTTTTTTTTTTTTTTTTTTTTTTCCCGCTGTTGCATCATTTCACCATTTTTACGTTTTCACGAATGTAATAGCGTTGTGCGTTTGTTATTCGACTTTTACTGTCTGTGCTGCATATGTTCAGCATCTATGTGGCACCAATGTAGTATATAATGTGCCATTTTCTGTGTTTTATTTGGGGTGGTCTTTACACCTACCCAACGCCTGTAGCACCATTTGCCGTTCGCTAATTTACACCCATGTTGATATAAAACTGTTGTGAACTGTAAAATTTATAGTGTCAATAAATAAAATGGAGTTACACAAAAATATTAACTCCTTCCCTTTTAAAAATTAATTTCTGTTCACACCACACATATGAGATGGGAAGGAAAAAAATAAATAAATTATTACCTCAGCATTGGAGAGGATCTCCGCAGTTGGCAATTAAAATTGAAAATATTACATTACAACATCCTCTTCTTTTTGATGCGAAAAAATGAAAATGGCAAATTTCCCGTCAATTTTTTCATCCCCCATTTTTGGCAATTTATGAATATCACCTTGTTAAGAATAAACTCATTGAGGAGGCATCACCACTAAACCTTAGTTTTGTTCTTATTTAATTTGTTTTATTTTTCTATTTGTTTTTTTTTTTTTTTTTTTTTTT